CATCTTCCATGGCACTCATCCAGTTCTTCTGAAGTTATGGACCTCAGTGAGCTTGGGTTCTATTAGTTTCGATAAGCAGTTGCTGCATTTTGCTATTCTACTCTACCCAAAAAATGAAACGTGCATCAAAAATGATTATAGTGATGACAGCCCAAGCAATAGCATTGATGCACAAGACCTTTAAATCACAACTTCTCAGTTTCAGAAACTAAATATTGTAAGTCTGAGAGTAACTAAATGTTAAGTGAGTCAATCATCTAAGTAATATGCATTATTGTCTTCAGACCACTCAAATAAATTCTCAGCAGTTGTGGGATTCTGTCACTTTTCTGATGCCCTATGGTCAGGATGTATCTCAGCAAATAGTCTGAATCTTTGTGACCACATCCTGGAAGTAGCTGCAATTTCTGGTGCTCTCCAGCACGATTCTTAGCCACAGGCCAGACAAATCAGTCTGTATTCAATATTTATGACCACATAAGAAATCAGAAAAAGAGCATAAAAATGATGAATGAGAGCGGAGGTTTTGTTGCCTGGGCTGTCTAAATTGCCCTAGCAATCTCTGGGCAGGCACCAACTGTGTGAATGCTTCCAGTGAATGTCCTTGGTTAGGAATGGAGGCTGCTGCTCTTTGTGTTCAGAAGTCTATCCAGGCAAAACAAAGCATTAAGCACTGGCAGATGGGATCAAGAGCAGTATTTTTAATTCACTGTATGCAACTGTGGCTAAGGTCTGGGACTCCAGAAAGGCTCTAAGCAATCATTTCAGTCAGATTTGTGAAATGAAGAAAGAATCTTTCTCTGCTGCACTCTTCATATGTGTCTTGCCCAGGCCACATAGTCTTCAGAATTTTGTCTTCAACTCCTGAGAGACAGGGATTTTATCCCAGCACAGTATTATCTACCATTAATGAGACTGCTGTGAAGGCCTAGCTGTAAAAAGTCCAGTAATACCCTGGAAGTCCAGTAATACCCTGGAAGTAACAAGTACTGTGTTTTCCTTCTTCCCCGGATGAAAGGAGACACAAGCCAGATCTTGAATTTGCTTGGAAAAATGTGCAATGAACCGTTTTCAGACAGTGATGACCATGCTAGCACAGAAGACAGATTCCACCTTTTGAAGTGCCTTTCTTGAAAAGTTGCTATGTTTAAATGGCTTCTTTGTGTAACTCCACAGAGCTATTGCTTCTTTATTTTTTAGGAGTAATATCCTGTACTTGATTCATGACAAGAGAAAGGTGCGTTTTTTCCTCTCCCCATTAGCGGCATGGAGCCAATTCAGTTCTAGTAGAGAGCACTGACTTCTGTGTCTTTTATGTGTGTCTCTGGACAGAAAATTTTTACAAAACTGTGTTCAGCCAAACCGCTGCCTAGTCATTCCTGGCAATGTTTTTCACAGGTGAAAAGCAAAGTAATGAAGAAATCAGTTTGTGACTGAGTATAGGCTAGCAGAGTCCTTATAGCTACCCAAGGAGAAAAGATACTGACATTTCACTGATGTCAAATAGCAGCAAAGGAGATTCAGGCACCTACTGTATTTTCTTAGGTCTACAACACACCTCCAGAAATGTCATGGTATTGTTCAATTTCTTATACTTTGCCTCCAGTGGAATTTTTGGAAGAAATGGGTTTTGTTGCTATTTGGCTTTTTCTTCCAGCCTTTCTACACTCCTAGTCCAGGACATAATGAGAGTGTGTAAAAATAGCAGAGTGGGAAAGGGATGTTGAGGAGCTGACCAATGCAATCAAACTCTCAAAATAGATTTTTCAGTTATAGGTGCATTTATGTTATGTGTATGTTAAGTTTTGGATCTGCTTATGATTCATCATTCTTCAAATTGAAACCAGATAGATTTGTAAAATGTGTACAGTTCACACTGGGGGTACACATCTTGCTTGCCTGGATTTCTCTACAAAGTTGGTCTAACCTTTTTGTATTTGCAAAGACTGTCAACAGAGCATGACCGCACTGCATATTGGTTTAGAAATATGTGCTGCCATCCAAAGAAAACAGATTTGCTTCCCTCACATTCATTTCTTCAAGGCTTTTGTCTTGAAAGGGCAGTTTGCAGAAGAAACCTTTACTATGCCTGATCTCCTGAGTCTCTTCTTTTCACATATCTTGTTTGAAATACTCCCAACGAAAGCAGAGGGTGGTATTGTGGAAACTTGCTCTGCATATCATCAGCAGCACTTCTGCTTCATTTTAGCGTTCATTTTATCCAAATGTTTTCAGACACTTTGAATAGTTTTCTGAATGAAGGATTTTGATATTCCATCTATCAGTTTAACAAAGATGATTTTTTTTTGACTTCCAAATAGGTAATTTCTTCACTGATCACTCCTCAGTTCAATATACAGAAGATCATTTTTTCGGTGTTTCTAAAATTTTCTGACATTTCTAATATTTACCCAAGTCTACTCCTATGTGCTGCTGAGCATGGTATAGTCCTGTTCCAGCAGAGATGTGTAGTTCATTCAGGAAAGGACCTTAAGCATGAGCTTAATGATTTTGCTGAGGTGGAACTTGAACGGATTCAGTATCTTGCTGATGAGGGTCTAATTTATTCACCCAACCAAAGTGAACTGCGTCCTTGCTCTTAAAAGAAGTGGCGCACAAGTGAGGAAGATTTTAAGGTTCATTGAAATAGCTTGTACACTTGTAATAGCACAGCTCTATTGGAAATTACTTTCTTGGCATAAATCAAGTTAAACTTACAGAACATTCTTTACTCTCTTGTGAAATCTTTGTGGGAAAAAAATCTTACCACTTCAGACAGTCCTATTTACTTTAAGCTTTCTTAGTAGTCATAAACATTTAAGTAGCAATTAATAACATCTATAACTGTGGGAAATGCATCCCGCTCTTGCCCTTTCAGCCTCGCAGCAAACCTCAGGTAGGAGATGAAGTTTCCAGTAGTCCCAGCATGAAAGGCAATGGGAAGCGTATCAGCGATCAGTCCCACAGATTGTTTCCTAAAATGCAAGGCACAGAGCGTAGCCTGGAAGGGGAGAGGATTCAAATATTAAATTGGCTTTGGTCATAAGTGCTGGATATAACCAGAGTCCCTGCAGTGTCAGGCACTTCCTCGACCTCCTCCACTTGTTTAGCAGCATTATATGTGGTGCAGCATCTGCTAGAGGATCCACTTGTATATGTTTTTTGTTGTTGTTGTTGTTCTTGTTTTCAAAATAAAGCTATAAGCAGAGATTGAAGAAGAGCAAGCTAGTGGTAATAAAGGTATTTTTAAGCCAGTCCTGCAAATATTTAGAGCTGTGTTTTTAAATACTACTGCTTACCTTCAGCACTACTCCTAACAGCAGAAGGCATCAAAGTTTTAAAGAAGTATTTTCAGGGGAGGACGCTTAACTTTTAATCCAGGAGTACTGAAGTGGATCTACTGCAAAATATAGCTGTTAAACTGAATTACCTGTTCCATAACTCTTTCAAGGTGATTTAAGATATCTCCTATAAAGTGACAGTGATAAATCTATCATAATGATCAAATTATTTATAGAACCTTGGGTCTACAATGCAAGTAGTTATTTTACGTGACTTCACAGTGACAATGACCATTATATTTTGAGTTTTGGAAAACTTTTCTGTGGTAACAGGAAATCATACAACTTTTCCAGCACTAGAGTTGGCAAAATTCTGAACAGGTGCATCAATAAAGTCTATGGTAATACTACCCATCTTCTTATATTTTGTCTGCTCAACAACTCTGAATAAAGTCTGAAGACTCATTTCTGACTTGCCTTGTATCACCATACAACTCATACAATCAACATTTTGCTTCATGTTTTGTGAGGAACCATTGCTCAGAATTGTGTAAGGTATATGAAGACCCACAATGCAGAAGGAGAAAAAATGAAAATTTGTTTTGATAAAGATCATATGATGTCTTTTCAGTGGTTTAGATGAATAATTTGGTACCAGTCAGTGCTGGATTTGCATTTTTAAATTACTTATAAGGAGGTACTAAATGACAAAAGATTTCTTTTCTTAAATAGTGGTCAGCTCTAGGAACATTGCTCAGTGGTCAGCTCTAGGAACCATTTTATAGACATTACTGATTTGCTGCACTAATAGTATTTATACATTGTTCTTGATAATGAAGTATTCTTAACCATGCTTTCTTGTTTACACTTGCATATAATTTAAAATTTCCTTTAATGATCTTGTCCTGGATAGAAAAGCCTATATAGCACTCCAGTGTTACTAAATAATGACTGTCTTAGAAAAAGAAGTCCAGTAATCCATTAGAAGGCTGTATGCCACACAGCTTTGTTTGTGATGGCCTTAGGATGCTGTAACAGTCTCCTTTCACTGCAAGGATGTTAGTCTTGCGTTAATGCGTTCAGTGTTAAGAAGTAGGAAGGACTGCAATATTAGGAGAAGTAATAGCAATGCTTTTTCAACTGAAAGTATTAATTCTGTCAAAAGTTGTTTTATTTTCTGTCAAGAGCATTGAAACTTGACTTCTGTCTCAGAATGACTTGAGAAACTTAGGCTGCTTAACAGCTCTAGGGAGTTATAGTTCAGCTATCGCTTACCTTATTCTCCACTATAAGTCAAGCTCCCTATTTACCTCTGTTAAACTACCCTGCTTATGCAAGTCACTTGAAACATTGTACTAGCAATGGATAATTTTCTAGTGTTGCAACCAATCCTATCTCTAATTTTTATAAGAAAACAACAAAGAAAGCGTTGTGGTCTGCTGTGTTGATACGAGACAAAAGGGGGGATTTCTGTGGGACCCAAAGGGAAATCCTCCATTGCTCTAGGGATTCAGTTACCCATCAATAAAATGGAGATATTGCTTTTCATCTTCCCTGAAAAAAAATGTGAGGCTCCAGACCTAAATATTACCAAAATACTTGAAAAATGTTGCAGTAGAAGCACATACAGATTAGTACTGTTCAGGTCCAGTAGTAATAAGTTTTATGAAGAAAGCGTCAACAAGTTCAGTTTCTATTTTTTTTCTCCTTATTTTCAAGATGTTGGGGCATTTTTCGAAGAAGGAATGTGGCTTCGTTACAACTTCCACTCCCCAGGGACCAGCATGAAGGACGTAGTTAGCCGGACACTGTTGAGTTCTGCAGACCATGAGATCACAGTGCCAGACCTCAGCTTGAATAAGGAAGAGCTCAGCTTCAGCTTCAGCACCACCAAGTCCCCTTGCGTCCTATTGTACATCAGCTCCTACACCCAGGACTACATGGCAGTGCTTGTCAAGCCATCTGGTAAGCTACTGCTCTGGACTTTTTCTGTTAAAGGCATTGCAAATAATAACTTTCAGTAAAGCTCTGGACTTTCTCTTCACCCTAGTGATGTGAAAGCAATATACATTCTGTTTCACTAGGTTTTTTGAACTGTTCAGTTCAGTGCAGTTGACAAAACAGAAACTCTGGTATAGCAAGCAGATCCACAGAAGGATGGAGAGAACAAGTAGGTATGTACATATAGGCATCTGAATAAATACTTCAAAATTATAGGTCTTGTGACAATGTCACAGGTATTGTGAGAGATGTTAGGTGTCTAGCTCTTCGAAAACTCTGCCTAACTAATGAGATGGTCAAAATAATGGGATAGCATTATTTTTAAGATCCTCGAATTGTTATGATAGCTGAAGGTTGTTTTTTGTCCCACTTTCTGAGTATTAAAAACCTCAAAATTCCAAACAGTGAGTTAATGTCTCATGAAAATCATAATTTAGATAATTTCCACTCCCACTATCTTCTATGAGACAGATTGGTGAGAGTATTCCTTATGCCACATAATGTTCTCCCTTCATGGGGAAGAAAAGAGGTGCATGAAAGAAATTCCACATCAGACATCCAAACTAAAACTTTCCAGGTCTTGGAGTGCCTCTTTGAGTCAGAGTATTTCGGGTTTCAAACAGTAACAGGATCTGCATTTCCCATTTCAAAAAGTGTGCTTTTAATGCAACATTAAATTTTGCTATGAAAAACAGATGCTTTGAGCAAATAGACATGGCTTTATTTATAAAAACAAATGCCTGAAGGACTGTCATGAATATTGGTTAACCACTTCTGACTAAACTTCTCTAATAATATAAGCTGCAATTTTATTTTCATTGTATATTATCAAATTTCCATAAAAGTCCAGACAGTCACCCGTCAAAAACAATTAAATTTGAGAGAAAGAAAATCTCATGTGTAGATTGTAATGTCACTGTTAATTTGTTGTAATTCCAACTTTATTGTATACTTACCAATAGTTTAGAAAACCTCATGCCTTGTGTCACTTTTAATTTTGAAGAATTTTACTGAAGAAAGAGTAATAATCTCAACCACGTAGTACTGCTGATTGTGTTAAAATGTGTAACTTGTCAAACAAAACTTCTCAGACAAATCTGTTCTTCACTAAATTCTGCTATCACAGAGGCCAACTCTGATTGATTTAAATATAGGTTTAAATGTAGAACAATAGCAGCCATATGTGAAAATCAAGAGGGAAAATACCTGGTTAAAAAAAAAAAAAAAAAAAAAAAAANAAAAAAAAAAAAAAAAAAAAAGATGCACATATCTTAAGGGTGCTTTTCACATTTCTTTCACTAGGGACTTTACAAATTCGATACAACCTAGGAGGCACCAGAGAGCCATATAACATTGACGTTGAGCACCGGAACATGGCGAACGGGCAGCCCCATACTGTTAACATCACGCGGAACGGAAGGGACATAGTGCTCCAGGTAAGCGGACACCCAAGGCTTTTCTGGTGCCATCTGGATTATTGTTGCAGTTCGCAGTGCCTTCTGTTTTGATGACCTCCTTCCCCTGAAGGGATCAACGCAATTTGAGAAACAAGAATCTAGCTGGGGTGCTGCTTGCAGATCATATTCCTAGGAATTAGCATAGACCATTCTCTATCCCTATATTTTCAAGCTATGTTGTTCTGAAATGCTTATTCTTGTGTGACCGGAGCTGAAGTGGAAGCCAGGACTAACACGTGAGCTGTTGTAGATGCCTTAGGGCATCAGAGACATCTGGGCTGGTAGATGACAAGGGACTTAGGCTCAACCTCCATTACTGGAGGAGCAGCCAGGATACTCCGTAGTATCTTAAACGGCCCTAGACCCCAGTGTATAGACAACTAACTGCCATGCTGCAGGTCTTGAGTCTGCAAATAGCATATCTTCACATTTAAATTTACCCTGAAGTCCAGGGCAATTAGAAGAAATCAGAATTGCTGCTCAAGCCTGCAAAGATGAGCAGATGCTAAAGTGTTTGTATCACAGGAGGTCTAAGAGAGAGAGACTACTTCTGAAGGTAGACAGCTCTGGCCTACTTATTTTTTGGTACAGCACTGACAGAAACTCCATCTCTCTATCTCAGTTTACAAACCTTTGAAGTAATGTAACACTATTTACGTGATCAAGAGAGTCTCTGCAAGAAGCAGTCAATGTTTATAGACAGTTTCTCTCTGTGGTCACTCCAGTGCTATTTCTGTTCCCTGGTTGTTACATCTGCAGACACGAAGATGGCAGCAGCGTGTTGGTGAAAGAGACGGGTGGATTTGGATGGATTAATCTGGATTTGATAGGTCACAAGAAGCAAACAAAACCCAATAACAAACAAGGTATAAAAAGCAGAGATGTCCTTGGGAAAAAAGCCAAAAGGTGAAGGATAGTATCTGTCACAGTATTATCTATCTCAAGATTAAAATAGAAGCCGAGCAGTTGTTTTTTCCTCCCAAAACGAAACTTTGTCTGTAGCTCACAGTATCTAACTGAGAATTTCAGATTTCAGAATGAAGTTTTCAAAATATCTGAAAATGTTTTCAAAAATTCTGAAAAATATATAGGTAGATGATTCATGCAAACATTTTGCGGGCCTTCTGGCAGGAAGGCTATTGTATTTTGATGTATGCATCTTGTATGAAAAATTTGGACTTACTTCTCTCATATGAGTCCTATAGACTCAGATTTGGCTGATTTAGACAGTTGTTAACTGCATAAATGGTTTGCCAAAGGAATTAGGTCAAGTATCTCGCCCAGTTGGAAAATACCAATAGAGTCTTGTGTCAACTCACCAACACTCAGTGAATGACTTTATTTTCTCTCTTTTTTTTTTTTTTTTCCTCCAGTATTGGGAAGCTGCCTATCTAGGGCTTTGAAAAGCCAGAAACATTTTGGTTAGTGTTTTTCGTGTAGAGTAAAAATTGCTTGGAGAACACAACTAGTTTAGGTAGACAGAAAGCATGCATTTGAGGCTTATTAAGCTAAAGGGTCTATCTGATGTACATACAAGGTTAGGGAAAGTAGATGGGTAAGAAAAATCCTTAAGTTCTACTATTGCTGTGCTAAGGGGGGAAAAAAAGAGATTTCTAAGAAATGCATTTTATTCTCCATAAGGAAGTTGATTTTGTAACTTATATGATTATTTTGTAAATAAGAGAGCTGATAGGAACAGGGATGGATCTGTTCTGTAGATAGTTCACTTGAAAATGAGTGACTTGCTTTCAAATATAAACGTTTTGTGATATTTGAAGATACAGATATGTTAGAAATACAATTTTCCTCAGTATCAGAGGACAATTCATAAAGTATGAGTTTCCTCTTGAAGATCTGAGCAACAAAAATTTGTGTAGGTTTTGTTTCCTGCTAAATCTTTCTCCAACCTGCTGAGCATCTGGTTTGCTTGCTTTTAAGACAGCTTACTTTCCAGGTGCTGTTGCTTGCACTTCCACATCTCCATGTGGCATAAAAATGTCACAAGAAGGATTTAATTCTCATCAAAGCTTCTGTTCAAAAGCACTCAGTATTTCTGAGATACTAAGAGCTAGTTCATACCTCGATTATCTTTCTCTTTAACTTACTGTAATAACACTATAGTGCCAGAGAAATCTGCAGTCAGGCAATAAATTGCTACCATATGAACTGTGTGAACCTGAGGTTTAGCATGGTTCTCAGATGTTTCATTTCTATATAAATGCAGTAAAAGATTCATTATGGGGACTCTATGAAACCTCACCCATGTTGTAGGACAGGAGACAATTGACTACCTGCATAAAGTCAGAGTTACTGTCCGATCACTCACAACATGAGTCAGGCTTTGAAATAAATATAAAAATACATAAAAATACCAAATTTATTCACAATAGAACAGCATAAGCACAAGAACAAATATTTGGCATGAATTTTCATTAGAAATATATTTTATTCCTAAAATGCTAAGATAGTTAAAACCAAAGGTAGTAACAAAGACTGACAAAAAGGTGTTGTAGTTCAGATTTTTTTCATTCATTGACTGCAGGCAAATCAATAATTAGTTCTACGTTAAATAACAAGCTCCCATGTGTGAGATCAGCAGTTTCTCAAGGATAAGATTAAGGATATACAGTTGCTTTAGGCTCCAGGAATACAAAATGACATTAATTCAGAAACAAGGATCTTATCTTTTGTTGTTTCAGTGGGGCAGGCAAAAATTTGCTAGTTAGAATTCCTCTCTCTCACCTCTTTTGAAATACCAAATACTAGTAACCATGGCACACCTCCAAGGCTGTATTAGTTCACCTGTGGATAAAAAAAAAATACAGCCTGGCAGATGGGAATGTATTATCCTAGTAAATGACATTTCAAGAGCTGAGCTTTAGGTCATGTAGGGCAAGTTTTATTTGGTTTGACTTCATTAAAAGGTTTAATGCTTCAGCAGGGTATTTTCCATATCATAAAAAACAGAGCACGCTTTACCAAGTTTTCATGGCTGATTAAAACTATTCCCACATCAATAAAATCTTCTTTTAAGAAAGCCAAGGATAAAAGTCTCCCTAGAAGAGATTCTGATCTAAAATCCACTGAAGCAAAAGGAATGGCTACCATTCAGATTACCCTTTAAGAGCGGTGGCAGTTATATGCTTAGTATAAAATTCGCTCCTCATGCTTCTGTATGTGTCCCCATAGCAAAATGAGGATGGCGTCTGGATCACAGGCTGCCTTGCTCTACCTTCCTTTGCTATTTATGTTTCTGCTCCATTGCACAAAAGCCATATCAGCATTTTAGAAAAATAAAAATGTGAGGTGCTTTAATTTTCAACAGAACAAAGTCACCTAGCACACTTAGATGTGGACCTCTCAGCTTCCTTAGGTGTTCTTGTACAAAGAAGTCAACAAACCTGCAGTTATTCATACTTCGTTTAAAGCCATTTCCAGAAATCGATTTTGAATCACAGCTTCCAGTGTCCTCCAGCTCAACAGTTTCTGCAGTTTCTGCAGAAGTACCACCCAGAGCATTTCATAAAGCTTAAATGAAAGCAATTTCAAAGCAATGGCAATGTGTCTGCTGATGAATCCAATCAAATCTATTTCACAGTTGTAATATCAGAATGTTTTGGAAGTCAGTTGCTCATACTAAAATGTTTTTCTTCTTACTTCACCCAGATTCTTACTTCAAATTTTCTAGATACTTAGAATAAAAGGAAGAGACCCCTTTATAAACAGCTCCCTTATGAAAATTCCTTCTGAAATCAAGCAATCTCTTAACCGAAACCCACTCTACAAGATAGTGTTCTTCTACAAACTCTATCTTGTTCACAGTAAACTACTCTTTTCTCAGGGAAGCAAAGTATACTGTCATCTTGGGGACACAGATAGTCAAGTTCCAGTCTCACCCGAGATCTGTATGTTCACAAAGTGTTTGCATGATGTTTAACTTGAAGATGAGCTACTAGGCATCTCCTCCTGAAAAGGCTTAAACCAGAGTGACTTCCACAGGACTCCACTTTCCCAAGCCCACCCAGGACAACTAGCAGTAGCCCATGCCCATGCTCAGGAGGCCATAGTCACAGTATCATCTCCATTCTCAATCAGTATGAGTTTGAGGCTTTCCGGAAATTTTCACCTGTTCATAAGATTCAGTAAAATTCAGACAAAATATTTGCATAGTTCTCCCTTTTTTTTTTCCCAGTACCATCAAAGACAAGCAGTGGAAATATCTAGCTCCTGTTAAAAATGATAATCCTTGAAAGATTTGCCCTTGATCCAGCTAACATGTAGAAGAAACAGATTTTTTTGCAAGTGCATTTTTTATTGCCATTTTGAACTCTCCACTATAGAAATAACATTTGCAAATGCTTGGATGCTTAAATAATATTTCATACAAAGTTAATTCAAAACTAAACTGAAATACAAAATAATAAGTTAAACGTAACAGCAATAAAATAAAATAAGTGAAGTGGAGCAAAGCAATCTGCGTATAGCCCTAAGCTTAAATGCAATGAATATATCAAAGATTTTTGTAATTGTAGGTTGAATCTTTTTTTTCATTACAGGGAATGGCAACTTTCTCATAGAATTCAGTGAGGCTACTGCTTCAACTACTATGATTACTTTGCTATAAAATTACACCTATTCTCCTGTTTCATATATTTTTAAGCCTGAACTGAATATGATCACTCTGTTTGATCTTTTGCTTAACCAAGGCCATAAAATTTCACCAAATGATTTTCTGCAACTAACCCAAAAAGTAATGATAACAGTATAACATATTCTGTAGAAAGGCATTCTATCTGGCTTTAAAGATTTCAAATGATAGAAAATTTTGCATATTCTTTGGCCATCTCTCCCAGTAAGTCAGTATCTTTCCTGTTAAGAGTGTGCACCTAATTTACAGTTTTAATTCTGCAGACTTCAGCATCTAACTTCAGGATCTTTATATTCATGCAAGATAGATGAAAAAAAATTGTTTGGTGTTT